GTGCCATTCCACATTATTACAAATAACTTCATTTCTGGACATTTATGGTTTGATTTCTTTGTATGTATGGATCACTTGGGTTGTTACCGACATCTGGTGAGAATTTCATGTCATTAGCACCTCTAGTAATATATTTACTGAGAAAAATGGTGACGTGTTCAATACTTATTTTACCCGCTGTAAATGTTTCAAAATAAAATGTCTGATCATGTTGCAAAAGGAAGTTAGGAAGTCAGCAGGTCAGTCTCACTGGCGACAGTGGAAAGAAAAAAACTCACTTTTAACAGGAAGAAACAACCTCAGTTTATAAAATTTACTACAGAAATGTCTCAGTGATTAAACATCTGTTATCTTCAGTTAAAGGTAGCTTTCTTTGCTTTAATGACCTGAATTATTATCTAATTATTGGAGGCGGGGCATCCTTTGATTGGCACCTTCAGTTTTATTGTATCTAAAAACAATGACAGTAAAGACTTTAGGAGGCCTTCGGGGCTCGTTGCAGGGTGGGACTGCAGCCTCTGTGGGCACCAGCTTGTACTTGGTTTGGATGGGGAACTCCTGATCCAGACTGGAGACATTCCTGAGTTGTGGAAGGAGCTTTTCAAGGGTTCTATTAATTCATCTACCTTTTGAGAAGGCAGAATCTAAGGACTCCATTTTTAAAACAATTAYCACAAGAAGGAAGGTTCATAATTATTGTGTTGTTTTCTGTTTCAGATCATCAGTCGGTGCGACGTTTGTTTGCTTCAGGAGGTGAGGGACAGTAAAGGGACGGCTGTACCACAGCTCATTCAGACTATTAAAAGGTGATGCTTCATTATTCACACTTAAATGTTAAATGGATCACTGGGTTCAGTTATGAGTGGGAACTTGTTCTGACAAGTCACAGATAAACTCCCAACAGTAGCAATCGTTGCATCCACTTCCTGTTTTTATCTGTTATCAGCTATGACCATAACCACCAGTACCAACATGTGGCCAGTGTGAGGCTGGGCCGCTCTGAAACCTACCAGGAGCAGTATGTGTTTGTTTACAGGTGAGCTGAGCTGCTCGATGCACCTCAACCAATCAAAACTGCTCCCATACAAAACCCTTTGTGTTCTATGAATCTGAATGTGTTCAGGTCCGACACGGTGACCGTCACAGACCAGTACCAGTACCCAGATGATCTACCAGGAGATGAAGAYGCGTTCTCCAGAGAGCCTTTTGTTGTTCGCCTCAAAGCCCCGAGGACAGGTCAGGTTTGATTTAAAACACTCGTATCCACACAATGAAAACTTTCTGTATTTTATCTCTAATTTACTGTTTGTAATTTTTAGCGATTAAGGATTTTGTCCTGATCGCTCAACACACGACTCCAACCAACACCACGAAAGAGCTGGACTCTCTGTATGACGTCCTGCAGAGAGTCAGGAAGATGTGGAAAACTGAGGTAAAGAAACACATTATGGCTGATGACCTGTGCTGAAAAAACATCCATCCATCCATCCATCCATCCATCCATCCATCCATCCATCCATCCATCCATNCATCCATCCATCCATCCATGCATCCATCCATCCATCCATCCATCCATCCCTGAAACGCTCTTCGCTTTAGGGAGGACCCCACCAGCGAGGGAGCTCCTCCGATCATTGAGGCACAAAAACTCCTCCACCACGATAAGGTGGTGATTCACAGAGGAGGAGATTTTTTTATTATAGAAAAATAAATAACAACATAATTTGTATGTATTTTAAAAAATTGTTGTTTTTACACCTGAAACTCCTCAGACTGAAGAAGTCTGTTGGAGGAGAGACAAAACGTTTCACTAAAGAAGAACCATCCAGAGGACCTACTTATTTTTTTTCTTTTTGGTTGTTGCTTTTACTTTTTCAAATAATAAAAATAAAAAATCAAGACAAAATCTTTATTTTGCATTAAAAACAAAAAGTTCAAACTCAGCTGTAGGA